GTGTGTGTGTGTGTGTGTGTGTGTGTGTGTGTGTGTGTGTGGTGGTTATCCAGGAATCTCTGATGGCTACCAGGGGCATCGCTCCACAAGTGCCCAGTTGTGAGACCCTTTTTGGCTCTAGGGACCAGCTGGGATTGCTGCTAGTATACCAGCCTCCCTGCTGCATAGCAGCCTCCCTGTCTGAGCTCCTAGACCTCACTGGAGGATTGGTGGTGGAGATTCCCAGGCATATGGTTCCTGGGGACTTCAACCTGCCTTCCCTGGGAGTGGGGTCAGAGGTAGCTCAGGAGTTCATGAAAACCATGAATTCCATGGGCCTATGCCAAGTCATCTAGGGCCCAACTAGGAATAGCAGTCACATACCTGATTTGGTGTTCTTGTTGGAGTGGTGCCTGTGTGATTTGGAATTGGTGGACCTATCTCTGGTCCCCTTGTCATGATCAGATCATGCCTTGGTGGCTATGAGCTTCTCTAGAGCCGTACCTCTCCACAGGGAGGCAGGACCTATTAGATTGGTCCACCCTCAGCAACTGATGGACCCTGATGGGTTTCAGAGGGAGCTGGGGGTTATAACTGAGGAACTGCTGCGTAGTCCTGCTGAGACCCTAGTTGCCACCTGAAATAGGAGGGCGACTGTGGCTTTGGACAGGATTGTGCCCATGCGACCTCTCCTGACCTGTGGACCTCATTGTGCCCCGTGGTATATGGAGGAATTGAAAGGGATGAAATGGATCAAGAGACGTCTCGAGTGTCACTGGCAGAAGATGAAGAACGAACTTGACCAAACACAGGTAAGAGCTGTTATTAAAGCCTTCTTCATGGCGATTTGTGTGGCAAAGGGGAAGTACTTCTCTGCACTAATTGCATCTGCAGACAATCGCCCAGCGGCCATCTTTAAGGTGACCCAATTCCTTATGGGGAAGGAGGACTCAGAGGTCTACCTGCCAGGGCACACTGAAGAATTTGCTGATTTTTTGGAAGATAAAAATCACTCAGATTTGTTCCCAGTTAGATGTCAGCATGGATGCTGGTCTGGTGGAGATGCCTGGGGTAGGTTTTTGCCCAGTTATCTGGGAATGGTTTGACCCTGTTGCTCCTGTGGAAGTGGCAGGGTCCTAAGGAATGTGTGAACACGGCCATCTGTGTTTTAAATCCATGCCCCTCCTGGTTGGTGAAAGCCTCCCAGGAGGTAATGTATGGATGGTACTGGCAGTGATTAATGCATATCTGGAGGAGGGGGTGGTGCCCCAGCCTTTTAAAGAAGCTGTGGTTCGTCCCCTTCTTAAGAAGCCATTGCTAGATCCCACCCTTTCTATATGAGCCATTATCTCTATAGAACATATTATGATATTGCAGGCTTATTTGCAGCTTGTACTGGAGATGGGTTGAGATTATTGATTTCTAGAACAAATGGGTCATTCAACCTTAACCCAATGGAGTAGAATTGCTATTCTATTCTCTAATAAAGATTGGAGAAAAGGCCAGAATAAGTAAAGTTCTATATCTGAGCTGCAAAAAGCTGGTAACCACTAGGTGGCAGTAAAGAGATATAGAAACATATGCCCTGAAAAAAGAGTTTGATTAAAGGGGAAGAATTCACACCATTGCAGAATGGAAAACCCTGTTTATGTCTAAACAAGAATATACTCTGCCACCCACAAGCCTCTGCTTCTTTCATGTGAACGTTGCAAGAGTTGAAATGAAAAACCTAAAGACAGACCCTATACTGTTTCTGAAAAATCTGTACACAAACTGTGATGGTGATTGTTTAGGTATAGCGGTAATTGTGGTCTGCAGTATAGACTCAGGAACACTTCAGGCATCCTTCAGCCAAACTGGGAATTAGAAACAACAAATAAAACTCTTCCACCATGCCAAGTTCAAATACCAACTCCACATAATACCAATTATCCCCTTTTGTTCATTTCTACTATACTTTAAAGTTACACTGTCAACTTGACATTTTTGAATTAAATTCATTTGGAAAAAAAAAAGTCTTGCTTCTGACAGAGGAGTCTTTTAGAAATAATTATTGTACAACATACTAGTTAAACCCATTTGTTAAGAAATATGTTTTTCTGCTCTCCTGGTGATATTACAAGTGTTTGATATTTCTTTCACACTGAATAATGAAACAACTATAGGGCTGTAGTCAGTAATGAGAGATACCAGTGCAGCCAATGATAATTAACCATTCTGAACAGAGAAGTACAAATCATTGTTTCTCAAATAGTTAGACTGGCAAATGATGAAAGCATTGTGTCTTTATGATTAGCATATCTTGTTGGTTGCAGAACTATGAACAGTCAAATGTTTAGGTTCCTCAGTTAGGATAAGGGAGGCATCTCAGCAATCACTAAAGGAGATATAGTTGGGGATATGAGTGCTTGTTCATGTGAAAGTGAGTTGAATGCATGAATATCAGAACATAAGAGGTGCAAAAAAGTTCATTGTGTCACTGCATGAAATGCTTGCCTTTTCCATGAAAATATGTTGGAGACAGTTTATGATCTGGAACAGGACCTTAGCGAATTAACTCCAGCATCAACCTAATCTAGTTCAGGTTTTATGCCATGTAGAATAATAACTGATGCAAAATGATCTTCAGTACCTGATCCAGATTTGTGCAAACAAGAAGACTTAGCACTGAATGTTAATGTTTCTGCTGTACTTCTATTTCCACATTGCAGGCGTTACCCCACAGTTGAAAAGCGAGCAAAATTTTTCAATGGGTCAAGTTATGTGCCAGTACCAGAAGATGGTCCTTTCCTTAAAGCACTACTTTTTGAATTGAGGCTGACAGATGAAGGTCAACACTTTTTGGAGCGTAGAGATGGCTGTTCCAGAATCAACAAGACTTCAGTCTATACACTACAGGTTGAAAGGAGGGACCTCTGGCCTGTGGTGGCTTTCCAGAAGAGTGGGTTGATTTATGTTGGCCTCCCATTAGTTGAGCAGTCCATCATGCCACGACCACCTCTCTTCAGTATCAGTGGAATCTCTCAGGCTTTTGACTTCTTGTCAGGGCTCCTGGCGTTTATGAACTCTAGTCAGAAGGGTGAAGCAGAGAGGAGTGCCAAAATTGGCCAACTGCCAAGTTTGATTATGCAGGCCTGTCCTCTGGGCACTCCACTAGATGCAAATTTAAATGGCTTATTGGAAAACAGTCACATTGCTCTAAATAGTCATACTCAGAAACCACCAGCTTGGAGAAGCAACACATACAAGGGAAAGCCTCAAGTTAATATCTGTATCATTGAAAAAGTCAAATCTGTCCAGTATGACCAAAGGGATGTGGCAGACATGTGGCAAGTTTATGGAAGTGTAACATGCAAGGTAAGATGATTCCTGGTGCAAATCTCTATAACCTATTTGACACATGGATGCACCTGGAAAAACAACTGTTCAGCTCATCTTGGTGTGTAGAGAAGCTGAACTTAATATTTTTAATGCTTCAGCATGCCAAAGGAAAAATACTGCTTCTTTAGACTAGGTTCATTCTGGTAAATTAAACCAGAATGAAAATCTCACTTTACAGTTATGCTCTTGCATATCTCGCTCATAGCTTTGCTCATTTAAATAAGAACAGAAGCTGCTATTAACGTTTTTATCATTTTATATTGAGTTTTGGTTTGTTTATCAGATTTATATATTTCAGTATACAGTGTTCCACATGCAATCCTTATGTATCCTCATAATAGCCTCATGAAATTGGTCAAACTGAGAATCAATGACCCATTTCAGACATCACACCATATCATATATTGCTATAACTTGACATGGAGGAGTTGAAGAGATTGAAAACAAAAGCACTAAACTGCTCTAAATCATGATTTGCCTGTGTACATTTGGAAGTCCAAACAAATTTCAATTCTAAACTGTGGTTAATTTAAATCATGTTTCAGTATGATTGGAGTAGTAGCACTGACAGCGTAATCCAATGAGTGCTTACTCCAAAATATATGCCACTCTTTCCAGTGTGGCTTATACTTGTTCACATTTTTTTAAGACTGCAACTTGAGTATAGTTGACAACTAAATAGTGATTTGAACCTTTATCTTCTTGGTTAAAAAAATGAGTAGTTTACAGTGTAAATGACAAAGTCTAGGTTGGGAACCAAATTTAGATGTTATCTATTTACATATGCAGTAGGTAAAATACTATACTAAATCAATACTTTTATAATACAAAAAAAGCTAAAACAGTGTAACAAAGAGGAATCATAATCCTATGCTATAACATGTATGTTGGATTGTGAAAGTCACTTACCATCAACTTCTGTTAAAAGGATCTATAGACCATAGCGAAAACAAAAGTCTTGCTTGGGATTTTGAAGGCTGTTGCTAGTCAGGGTAGATTATTGTGGTGGAATTAATCATTATACTTTGTATAAGGCAACATTTAGAGAATTGAGGATTGTAATGAATTTATTTTAAACATCAGTTCTGGTATTTGTTGTGCTTGTATTTTGTAGTGAAATAATTAAAAAACCCAGACTGTTCTGATCTAGAAACCAGACTTGGAACTAAAAAAATATGATATAAAACTAAGGTTTATCTTAGCTACAGAAATTATGTTCGCCCACTCTTTACCCTAAGCTAGAGAAAAGTTGAGGTTTCCTCTTGCCAGAAGATAGCACATGATTTACTGTAGGAAGAGTATGTAAATTAGGTGGTTCACCAGTGAGTTCCCATTCTCTTGTGTTTTTCTCTTTGAAGTGTGACGTAGAAGGCACTGCTCCCAATGTGACTATTGGCCTGAACCTCCCTGCCAATGGTTCTCCTCTCCAGGATATTTTGGTCCACCCCTGTGTAACATCCCTCGATTCTGCTGTTCTGACTTCCAGTAGTGTTGATGTAATGGATGACTCAGCTTTCAGTGGACCTTACAAATTCCCTCTAATACCGCCTTCAGATCTGTTTAATCTGTGCTTTTACACTTCCCAGGTAAGGTTTCAACATGTGTAATGAACCAGTCAGGAACAGCATCATCAAGTGCTTGCCAAAGTCAGTAACTATGAAACATCTGATAATGGCTCCTATCTTGAACTGGAAAGAAGAACAGTTGATAGGACAAACAGCTTGGCTAGACTTGTTAAGGATATTGAAGTAACAATGCCCATCTATTTAAATTTATTATGAAAAAATGCCTTAAATTGAACTTTTAATGAAACTGTTTTTACATGTGAGTTCATTTTTACCTAATTTTCATGTCTGGAAGGCAAGGCAGCTGCAATATCTTCCTTGGTAATAGCTTGGCTTCTCAACATGACAGATGATCCCTTCTCAACTATGTGATTCTGAAAGGAATTTTCAAGTTAGCAGTGGCCCTCCAGCTCATTACATGCTTTGTGTGGTGTTAGGAGAGCTTTTGGCCTTCATCCTAGAAATATTTCCAGCACCCTGCTGATCAGTGGTTTAGAGAATCTAGCTTGCAAATGAGTTGTTAATTCCTATTTTCCATTAGAATTAAGCACTCTCTGCCTAATTATCTTACTGTTTAGCCATCACAGAGTTTATATCTGACATCTGGAAGCTGTCATCCCATTTTAATTTATTTTATTTTAAATGTGCACCCTTATCACATACTCCCAAAGAAGCCTAAGGGTAGCTTTACAACATGCTAAAAATGGAAACCAACAATTTATAAAATACATAAAATGATTTTAATTTAGAAATATAACAAATTCAGCTATTTATCTCTGTGCATCCCAACCAGGTACCTGTTCCACCTATTTTGGGATTTTATCAACTAAAAGAAGAAGAATCACAGTGGAAGTTCACAATTCACCTGAAACTTCATGAGAGTATGAAAAACACTTTTGAATACTGCAAAGCTTGTATTCCCTTTTTTAACCGGTAAGAATAATCCCTCCTTCCCTCCCTCCCTCAAATCAGCAAAACAAAGACCTCTTCATAGAATAGAGATTACTGTTTGGAGAATGCTTGAAAAATCTCCATTTATAAAACTGATTTTTTTTTTTTTTTTGGTCGGAATAGCTGAGTGTGTTGGTACTTCAACAAAGTAGGAAGCATTTTATTGGTCTGTCCCAGGCTTCTGATAGACCCTGTTGGGTTTTTAGAGGGTGCTTGAGAAGGCTTCTGAGGATCTACTATAGTTCTACGCAGGCCTTAGTTTCCTCTTGGACTGAGAGGGTGTCTGGAGCCTTGGATCAGATTGCACCTTGTGGCATCTCCTTGCATGTGGAAGCCGGTTTTCAGAGGTGCTCTGGGAGATGAAGCAGCAGAGCACCACTGGAGGAAGGTGAAGGACAAATCTGATTGAACACGGATGACAGCCTTTATTAAGGATGACATCATGAGAATAAGAGTGGCAAAATGGAGGTATTCTTCCTCATTTTGCATCTGCAGATTCTCACCCCATGGCCCTGTTAAAGGTAACCTGCTCTCTTTGTGGGAGAGATGGTTCAGAAAATCATCTGAAGGGCTGCTGTGAAGATTTTTTCAAAGCATCTGTCAAAATCACTTGGATTCACTCTGAGCTGGACTCCAGCTGTTAAGTTGCTCAATCATGTGGTTATCTGGGAAGATTTTAAGGCTATTTGTCCTGAGGAAGTGGACTGGCTCCTTGGAACTGAGAATGTAAACTCAGCAGATCCCTACTTGGTTGGTTAAGACATTCTGGAAGATGAGTGGTTGAGTCTGGATAGTGGTGAATTCATTCTTGAGTGAAGGAGTGAATCTGCCTGCACAGTGGTCCATCCCTTCCTCAAGAACCCATTCTTTGACCCATTGGTGTTGGATAATTTCTGAGATGTCTCCCATCTTCCCTTTTGGAGAAGTGTCATTGAAAAGGCAGTCAGTCAGAAGCTTCAGAGAGCTCTAGAGGAAACACATTGTCTGGATCCCTTTCAGTTGGCTTTCAGGTCTGAGCACAGTATAGAGATTACATTGATTGTGTCTATGGATGACCAGTGATGGAACCAGAATGGGGGTGGTGCATATATTCTGGCCCTCCTTAATCTCTCAATGGCCTTTAATACCATCAATCATGGTATCTTTGTGTACAGAATCAGGGGATTACGAGCAGGAAGGATGGGTTACAGTGGTTTTCCTTCCTCCAGTGCAGTTCTGGTCAGTGTTGATGGGGGGAGAGTTCTAGCCCTTGACCCTTGCTTTGTGTACCCCAGGACTCAATTCCATCCCCACTCCTTTTTAATGTCTACATGAGGCTGCTGAATGAGGTCATCTGTCAGCATGGAATGAGGTATTAGTATGCTGATTATAGCCAATTATACATCTCAGCCCCTGATCGCCCCTGGATACCCAAGTGATGTTATCAAGGTTCTGACTCAGCATCTGGAAACTGTAAGGATCTAGATGGAGAGGAACATACTCAAACCCAACCCTAGCAAGACCAAGTGGCTATGGATTCTGAGTCCCTGTGAAAGATTTTATACCTTTAGCAACAACAAATACAAACCAACACAGCATGCAATGTGGGGGTTCTCCTAAGAGCAGATGGAAGCTATGGCTTGGAGAGCCTTTGCACAAATTCATCTTATGTGCCAGTTGTGCCCTGCCCTGAATGGAGAGGCCCTACACATGGTCACACATGCCTTGATCATTTCTTATTTGGAATACTGCAATGCACTTTACATGTGGCTGCCCTTAAAAACTACCCTAAAGCTACTGCTGGTCCAGAATCCAGTGGTGCCGATAGTTATGGGTTCACCTCAGTATGCCCATGTAATGGCTTTGTGAGTTGTATTGATTGCCAGTGGGCTTCCAGGTGCAATTTAAGGAGCTAGTTATCATCTTCAAAGCACTTCATGACACAGTGCCTGGTTATTTACAGGACTGCCTGTCTCTGATTACTTCTGACCCTCTAACAAGGTTGGCGCACTCCATGTCCTGCCTTTTAAATGTGTCATCTTATGGGACTCAGAATATGTGTCTTTTCTGCCACTGCACCTATCCTACTTCCCCCCTGCCCCCCAAGATCCAGATGGCCCCAAGCCTGGCTGGCATTGGTCAGGAGAATTTATGATCCTGTCTGGTATGATTGTCTTATTGAATTGCCTTCAGCAGACTTTGTTGTTTAAATATTATTATTTTATGATTGTTTATTTCTAGTGTTTTGTTGCTTTAACTGCATACCACGAGTCTTTTCAAGAGGGCGGCTATAAAAATTGGCAAAATTAATTAATTAATATCTGCAAGCTGAGCTCAGTGTGAATGATGGCTAGGTGGCATCCCCTAACCAAACCTGGCAGATGATGAGAAGCTAAGCAGGCCTGGTCCTATTTAGTACTTGGTTGAAGGTCTGCTAGGATGGCTACCATTGTAGACTACACTGGGAAGTGAAAATACCTAAGAAGAAGGCAGTGGCAAACTGTTTCCATTTAGTACCAAGAAAACTTCATTGATCTGTCCATGAAATCACCCTTTTGCAAAGGATATTACCTAGGAACTCGGCTCAGTATGAGTAATGGCCAACAACAGTCATGCATATAGGTAGTCCTCACCAACCATTAGTTCAGCGACCCAAAGTTACAATGGTGCTGAAAAAATAACTTTTACAGACCATTTATGACCTTTGCAGTGTGCCTCAGTCACATGATCGCATGCCTGACCCGTGGTTTGTTTTTGTTTTTTTCTCCCCCCCCCTGCAGACCAGAGTGATTGGGCA